AAAAAAATATATATATATATATATATATATATATATATATATACAGCATTTTCATCACCCCTGAAGCTCCCTTGTACCCCTTTTCCAGTCAATCCTACTCACCCTAGCTCACCCCCAGGCAACCACTGTTCTGATTTCTATCTCTATAGATTAGATACACCTGTTTTGGGCTTCTATGAATGGAATCATGCAATATATACTTTCTGTACCCGGGTTCTCTCACGCACAGAATATAATGTCTATGAGATGTCAAATCTCTCCACTTGATCTTAGCCAAAAGGCTGAGAATCGATGTCAAATCTCTCATCCATGTTATTGCATGTATTTCATTTTATTTATTTATTTATTTATTTAGACAGAGTCTTGCTCTGACGCTCAGGGTGGAGTGCACTGGTGCAATCTTGGCTCACTACAACCTCCACCTACCGGGTTCAAGCGATTCTCCAGCTCAGCCTCTCGAGTAGCTGGGATTACAGGCACCCCCACCACGCCCGGCTAATTTTTGTATTTTTAGTAGAGATGAGGTTTCACCATGTTGGCCAGGCTGGTCTCGAACTCCTGACCTCAGGTTATCCACCTGCTTAGGCCTCCCAAAGTACCAGGATGATAGGCGTGAGCCACCACGCCCAGCCCTTTGTTTTAATTTTTAATCACATTATTGAGAGGTACCATTTATATACAATGATAATTTAAATACACAAGTTCCTACACAAAAATTAGCCAGTGGTGGTGGCGCACTGCTATAGTCCCAGCTACCAGAGAGCTGAGGTGGGAGGAGCGCTTGAGCCAGGGAGATCAAGGCTCCAGTGAGCTGTGAACATGCCACTGCATTCCAACCTAGGTAACAGCAAGACCCTGTCACAAAAACAAAAACAGTTATTCTTCCTTGGGAGCTGCTTATAAAAAAGAAAAAGCAGGCCAGACACAGTGGCTCACACCTGTAATCCCAGCACTTTGAGAGGCCCAGGCAGGCAGATCCTTGAGTTCAGGAGTTCAAGGCCAGCCTAGCCAATATGGTGAAACCCTGTCTCTACTAAAAATACAAACATTAGGCTGGGCGCAGTGGCTCATGCCTATAATCCCAGCACTTTGGAAGGCCGAGGCGGAGAGATCACCTGAGGTCAGGAGTTCCAGACCAGTCTTGTCAACATGGAGAAACCCCGTTTCTACTAAAAATACATAAAAAATTAGGCAGGCATGGTGGCACATGTCTGTAGTCCCAGCTACTCGGGCAGCTGAGGCAGGAGAATTGCTTGAACCCAGGAAGCAGAGGTTGCAGTGAGCCAAGATCCCATCACTTCACAATAGACAAAGGGACTCTGTCTCAAACAAAAAACAAAAACAAAAAACATTAGCCAGGCTTGGTGGTGCATGCCTGTAATCCCAACTACTCAGGAGGCTGAGGCAGAGGTTGCAGTGAGCCAAGACCCGCCAGTGCACTCCAGCCTGGGTGACAATGAGACTCCGTCTCAAAGTAAATAAACACAGTTTAGAAATACAAAGTAGCATGACTTAACTATCTATATAACCAGGCCCCAATCAAGATACAGAATAATTCTATTACCCAGGAAGTTCCCTTATGTCTCACTCAAACATCCTTCTCCACAGGCAAGCTCCGTGGATTTTTATCAGCATAGATTTCACTTTTCCTATTCTTGAACCTCATATAAATAGATTATACAGTTATGTGTTTAATTATGCAGTCCTTCAACATAATGGCCAGGTGTGGTGGCTCACCGCTGTAATCCCAACACTTTGGGAAGCCAAGGCAGAAGCATCTATAGAGCGCAGTTTAAGGGCAGCCTGAGCAATACAGTGAGACCCCGTCTCTGCAACAAGTTTAAAAACTAGCCGGGCGTGGTGGTGCAGGCCTGTGGGCCCAGCTACCTGGGAGGGAGGTAGGAGGTCACGTGAGCCGAGATAGCACCACTGCATTCCAGACTGGGTGACAGAATGAGACCCTGTCTCAAAAAAAAAAAGAAAAAAGAGAAAACGTATTGTGTGTTGTATTTATTGGAGTGGTGGAATTATGGGGTTTAAAGGCATTTTGTTGCATTTTGGTTTTGTTTTCTTACCTGTGGTCGCATTCCTAGCAGTAGAAACTGGTGTCATATAGTATTCTTACGGAACGTTCCTTTGTTTAAAGTCCTCCTCCAGTTCAGACTTACACATTTAATATGAGATGTGACAGGCTTAAAAATAAATGTTGGGTTATTTCAGTGTGAAATAAGGCAATAAACGGAGGATTACAGTTCTACTTTGTAGAGCTCAGGGATTTTAAGAAACGAGGAGGAGCCGGGCGTAATGGCTCATGCCTGTAAATCCCAGCAATCTGGGAGGCCGAGGCGGGTGGATTACGTGAGGTCAGGACATGGTGTTGCAGGCCTCTGGGCCCTCACCTACCTGGGAGGGTGAGGTGGGAGGTCAAGGCCGCAGTGAGCCGAGATGGCACCACTGCATTCCAGGCTGGGCGACAGAATGAGATCCCGTCTCAAAAGAGACCAGCCTGACCAACATGGTGAAACCATGTCTCTACTAAAAATACAAAATTAGCCAGGCATGGTGGCGGGCGCCTATAATCCCAGCTACTGGGAAGGCTGAGGCAGGAGAATCGCTTGAACCAGGAAGTTAGAGGTTGCAGTGGGCCGAGATCGCGCCATTGCACTCCAGCCTGGGTGACAAGACCGAAACTCTTCTCAAAAAAAAAAAGAAGAAAGAAAGAGAAGACAGAAAAAGAAAGAAAGAGAAAGAAAAGAAAAAGAAAGGAAGAAAGAAAAAGGAAGGAAGGAAGGAAAGAAGGAAGAAAGGAAGAAAAGAAATTAGGACGTGCCTTGGGGAAGGGTGAGCAAAAAGCGCGGAGTTTGCGTACGAAGAGAGGGGTGAGGCTAGCGCCGCGCAGAATGATGACGTTGCACGCTGGGTGGGAACTGACGACACCTGTGCTCATCGCTGCTTCCGGTCCGCGTGGGGTGCTTTCTCGTTCTGGTGGCGGGCTTAGGGTCGGCGTTGGGGCGCGGTGCGGCTCATATTTTCACAAGTCGGTCTCCGTTGTCCGGGACTATGGCCACCGACTCGTGGGCCCTGGCGGTGGATGAACAGGAAGCGGCTGTAAAGTCGGTCAGTGGCTTCAGCTCCAGGAGGGGAGGATGTAGCAGGGGCCGAAGAGGAATCTGCTGAAAGCTCAAGGAGCTTCCAGGATTGGGCAGGCCTCTGGGCAACGCGCTCCTGGAGTTAGCTGGAGCACTTGCCCTTGATTTGCTCGTGGGACTAAACGAATCTAATGTCCAGCTTTTTATCCCCATCTGGGCTGCTTAGGGACTTCATCCTTTGGTAAATTCGCCCCACTATGTATGCTGTCATTCCTCTGTTGACCTCCTTCTCAGAGACGATTGTAAGGAAAGCCAAGTTTAGATGCGGATTCCCTTTTTCATTAAGCAACTATTCTTTGCATGTTTCTGTGCTACTCTGTATTTAACATTTCTTAGATCCATGCTTAACGTGGTTGGCAGTTTGTTGCTCTTTGCAGAATAACAGATTCGCTTTTAGATTTAATAGCTCGATTTACTGCAGATGTTGGAAGGAGGCACTACACATTGTTTCATTGATGTTTAAAGTGGCAGTTTCATATACTTGTTCTTTAATAATTTTCATTTAACTGGAATGTAATTACAGCGTACACTGGTTTTTTTGTTCTTATATCTAAGACCCAAAGTTTTGGTTTGTTTAGTGTTAATGGACTGTTGGTTTTTTAGTAGTCTCAAGTCTTATGTGACTCTTCTTTTTTGAAACAGAGTCTCGCTCTGTCCCCAGGCTGGAGTGCAGTGGCGCGATCTCGGCTCACTGCAATTTCTACCTGCCTGGTTCAAGCGGTTCTCCTGTTTCAGCCTACGGAGTAGCTGGGACTAAAGGCGCGCACCACCATGCCCGGCTAATTTTTTTTCTTTTTTTTTTAAGTAGAGAGGGGGCTTCACCATATTGGTCAGACTCCTGACCTCAGGTGATCCACCCGCCTCAGCCTCCCAAAGTGCTGGGATTACAGGTGTGAGCCACCGCACCTGGCCCTTTTAATCTCTTTTTAAGAGATAAGATCTCATTATGTTGCCCAGACTGGTCTCTAACTCCTGGGCTCCAGCGATCTGCCTACCTCTGCCTCCCAAAGTGCTGGGATTACAGGTATGAGCCACTGCACTGAGCCCAGTATGGGCTTTTTTTTTTTTTTTTTTTTTTTAAGGGAATTTCGCTCTTATTACCCAGGCTGGAGTGCAACGGTGCCACCTCGGCTCACCTCAACCTCCGCCTCCCGGGTTCAAGTGATTCTCCTGCCTCAGCCTCCCGAGTAGCTGGGATTACAGGCATGCGCCACCATGCCCGGCTAATTTTGTATTTTTAGTAGAGACGGGGTTTCCCCATGTTACTCAGGTTAGTCTCGAACTTCTGACCTCAGGTGATATGCCCGCCTCCCCCTCCCAAAGTGCTGGGATTACAGGTGTGAGCCACCTCGCCCAGCCGGTATGGAGATTTTTGAAATGGACATTGACAGGATTAGATCTTAGGGCTGGCAAGATTTATTGAACCACAGAGAACAGAGTATGTTAGAAGTGATAGCTAACAGAAATATCTGTGTGGAGTTATTCTGATAGCCCCAAGATAGAGGGCCTGTGTTGGGCAGTGGAAGTAAAAATGAGGGGATGGACATAAGAGATATGAGGGGGGTAGGACTTGCTAACATAATAAAGGAGAGAAGGGAGAGAAAGCCAAAGGTTTCTGTTTTCAACCTGGATTCTATTGATATTACTACTGTCCCAAAAAGAGGAATAGGAAAGTGGAAGGAAGGGCACATTTGACAGAATGGTGAATGAAGGCAGCGGGCATGGTATCTCACACCTGTGATCCTAGCACTTTGGGAGGCCAAGGCAGGCAGATCACTTGAGGTCAACAGTTTGAGATCAGCCTGACCAACATGCTGAAACCCTGTCTCTACTAAAAATACATAAATTAGCTGGGCGTGGTAGTTAGCACCTGTTAATCCCAGCTATTCAGGAGGCTGAGGCATGAGAATTGCTTGAACCTGGGAGGTAGAGGTGGCGGTGGAGGTTGTAGTGAGCCGAGATCATGCCACTGCACTCCAGCCTGGGCTACTGAGCGAGACTCTGTCTCAAAAAA